AATACGCCTGCATCTTGATCTGTTCGGGGCAGTTATATAGATTTCTTCTCAAGAAGCCGAGGGAAGAGTTCGCTTTCCCGGTAATGGCAGAAATATGTTCATTCCATGTTAATTTGCTATCTAATTCTACACCCAGATACTTATTGTAAAAACTTTATACTAAAGGACTATGTGACAATGTAAACTGTAGCTAAATTCTTAAACTAGAAACAGAAGTTTAGTAAAACATATAAGCTTTCTCACACTTTTCTCAGTCTCAAACCCTAGATAAAACTTGTAGTCCGGTACTGTATACTGGCGGTATTCTGTTGCATTCTTTATCACAAGCTATAAGGCACATAAGCTAAGGGGTGTCTAAAAACAGAAAATTATGTCCTTTTTACGCAGACTTAAAAAAAATCAATCGCAAATCTATATCCTGCGATGCAGAACTCAAAACCTAGATAAAACTTAGACATAAATCGGGACTATTATACCCGCGTTGGTGATGCCTGCGGGCTATAATCAACCTACGGTCGACTCCGGGCCGTGGTTTCTTCGAATAAAGTGTAAAGCCATACAGTGTAACGATAACATAGGCACAAGCATGTAAGAACCAGGCACCTGTTGTTCAATCGTTATCCACTAGATAAATCTCTATCCAGTGTATAACGCAACTGGGCTGATCTTTCTGGTCAGCAATGAGAAATCTCCTGCTTCCAAACTATAATTTTCCCCTTGATAGGGATTTATCCGGTGGATAGCGCTATCTAACGTTTCAACAACTGGGGCCTTTTTTTTTCGATGTAATTTGTTTACCCACGGAGCACCTGGGAGTTGTTAAGAACTCGATTAAAACATGTCCGTGTGTTCCAGATCGAATTGGAATTTGAAAGTGTTGGTTTTAAAGGAGAGGGGAGAACCGAAGTACCCGGAGAAAAACCTCTTGGTGCAAGGGAGAAAACCAGCAACAAACTCAACCCACATATGGCGTCGACGCTAGGATTCGAGCCCCGGCCACATTGATGGGAGGCGAGCGTGAGATACGCCTTTTGAAAGAACAGGATGAAGGGGTAAAAACTACATGTAGCTCTTCTCGGATGCATTTCCTATGGCTATTTTTACTGGTCGATGAATTACCCAACGAAAGTGCAGAGAGAAATAGCCAAATATTTTCCAATTTAATACAGTGAAACCTCTATTAAGGGATACCCTCGGGACCTTCCCAAGTATCCGCTTAATAGAGGGTGTCCGCTTAATAGAGGTTGTAAGAGTTGCGCAATGTTTGTTAACGATCAACATTCAACGGTTAATCTGTACCATGATAAAGTTGCATGTTGTTAAAGAAGCTATCCTGAGTTCAACTTCATTACCTTTCATTACCAACTTTAATTTGTTTGTAAATGCAAAAACATCGTCTGACTTCATTAGAGACCTTTAGCATCAGGTTTTTCAGTTTGCAGTTGCAAGTTTGCAGTTTCACGTTGCCGGGATTTTTTTAAGCAAGGCGTTCATTGTTTAGTGCCGCCATGTTGTTTTTCGAAATTCGAAGTTCTTTGTTTTTTTTCTCCCAAAAACATAAATGATTCATTGCTTCGAGATCAAAAATCGAAGTAACACATCACAGGTGGATATAGAAAGCTGTATTGTGCCTTTAAAGGTAAGGCTGTACAATTTATAGAGGCAAAAAAAACCTTGCCGTAAGTCACTTATCGCTGAAAGCCCTTCCTGCCGTTCAAACGTGAACACCAAACGGCAATCGCGACAGCAAGACCGTGGTCACATGACATTCTCAGGTTTCCGGTTTCCGGTTTCCCATGAAAAAACTGATGCTAAAGGTCTCTATTCTCTCGTGACCGCTAACAAATGATAAGAGAAGACTGAGGACTAGTCAGGATCTCAGGGGAAATTTTGGCGGCAGAACCGCCAGCGCGCAAGAAAAAAGAGGCGAGGAAGAATTTCGCATCAATCGATTTCTGGATTACAGACTAATGTTTGTCTCTAAGCTTTCATAGTCTTAAATATGATCTGATTTGTTGACTTCAAATCACTAGAATTGGGGCCAGCCTGATATCATGTTCTGCGGGCGTTTTTGTTTTTAAATATATAAATGTTGTGATTGCACAGCAAATTCGAGGTTGTAAATTAACACCAAGGGTGATATACATTAACACTGAATTAGTGTTATCATAACACTTGCCGAGTGTTTCTTAAAAGATACACCAATTCAGTGTATGAAAACACTAAAATGGTGTAATAAAGAAATGTGGCACACGTTGGCGGTGTAAAGTTACACTACGTCTGTGTTTCAGAAATCTTGCAAGTACTTAACACAACTGGTGTGTTATTTTACACCAAATCGTGTATCAAAACACTAACATGGAGTTTAATCTGAAATTATCAATTGCATATCCCAGGTCAGAAATGTTTAAACTAAACACCCTGCTCACGTGAATTTAATAGCCGAATAGGTCTATTGCTTTTCAAAAAATATGAGATGTACGTGTGTGGCAGTGCTTCAGCATGAATGTAGTTATACTACTTGGTGCTAAAAGTTATTTGAATCCTTTATTAAGGATGATGTAATTTCCTCTCCTTCAAAAATTGACGGATCTAAAAATGACAATCAACCTCACGGCACAGATCCCTACCAAAAAAAAAAAAAAAACGCAGACCCACACACACGAGTATCTACTAAAGGGGGCCCCACGTGCTTTCCGTGACTAATTGAAAGCACGTGCTTTCAGTGTTTATTCGCCGGAAAGGTGAAAACAAAGATAATTGTGCAAATTTAAAATAATCTAAAAAGACGGCATTTGTCTTATAAGCAAGTTAACCTTCGAAACATCACGAAAACATCGCATTTGCTTTACACAAGTCATTTGTATGCTGCGTGAGGCTCTTGAAAGTGATCTTGTAAGTTATATTGAAACGCGTCTATCAACGTCGGCAAGCGAAACAACATCGGAATGTTTTGTGTATGCGGATACGACCAATCACAGCTCAGTCCTAAAACGTTCTCACGGTTTCATTAATCCCTTTGATTGCATTGTGAACATTCCTTTCAAGACGGTACCTTATCAAGTAATGTTTTGTCCAATCAGAGAAAAGCGGAAAGGTTTCGTGTCTTGTTCAACGTTGCGTGCCCGTTCATAATTATATTCACGCACACCGAAGCAGTAGCTGTCCATTTCACCGTCTGTAGATTCTGCACGGAAAAGTTAAATTATTTAGTCTGTCTGTTTTAAGGGTAAAACCTAGCTGGCTTCAGTTATTTTTCCTTTCGAAGATGTTCAAGAGTGGATGAAGAAGGAGGGGATTCAGGCATTTGCCGATCATTTTTATGGTAAGGAGATAACCTGTCCTAAATGTAATATTTTGGCCTTTTAAAAGAAAAAAAAATCTCATATACTGTGCCACCAACCGACAATTCGTAAAACGGTGTTCTGAGTCATCTTTCTTTTGATTCATCCATCTAACAAAAGTTCCCAACTGAAAACGCACTTTTGGCGCGAAATAACGGAACACGTTGACGTTTTTACTTCGAATTATATTAAGGCCTGAAAGTTTAGCTTTAAAAACTTTAATTTTCCTTTCTTAACTCTTTACTTTTTATCTCCCAAAGCTGAACAGGTTGACGGTGAAGCACTGTTGTGCATGAATGAGGAGACCTTGAGGACCCTCGTGCCCCCTGCTGGCGACCGCGCTAAGCTTCTTCACAGGGTACGAAAACGTGACGATAAAAGCAAGGAAGTTCGGATAATTCACGAGGTGTCGACCGAAGCGCGACCTGTACATGAAGCTGTTAATGCTGAAACAGTTAGCGAGGCATCTAGCGCCCCAACAGTTGATAAAAAAAGGTGAGAGCCTATTTACAGTTATAATGCATTGGTCAACCTATACGAAGCGAGTAGGAGAGAATCCTGGGAACGAGGTTGTGGATTAGTAAGCAAATTCTAAATACATTATATACATTATTGTGCGCATTAGATCATATATTTGAATGCTATTTTGCCCCTAATAAATAAATTATTATTATTATTATTATTATTATTATTATTATTATTATATTATTACCTATTTCATGTTACAGCTACACAATTTGCCAATGTTTGCTATCCATATACAATGTAAAAAAACGTATAAACATTTTCAATCATTCACAAGAGATACCTGTAATAAAAAATATTATTTTCAGCCATCCTATCTATTTTACCAATGATACTTCAATACTGTCTTTTTCGATAAAAGTGCCTGAGACCTAAAACTGTAAAGTTCTGTTCAGTGCTGTAATAATCGAAGCTGCAAAACGTATATTATTAAAATATGTCTGTAAGATTCTCAGTTAGTATATATTCCCAAACAAGTTACCTTTATCTTTCAATTCATCATGTTGTGGGTTACCATAGCTATGTAAAGTTGGATTTTCCGCTTTTAACTAGCTCCAAAGTTGAGAGGCCAGCCCGCTCATTACTTGGAACATGATGAATTGACAGCTGGTAACAATTATAGTTAAAATTATCAGAAAAACTTAAGTAGGATAGAAAAACAAAAAAGAAAGAAAGGACGAAAGAAAGACTAAGAAAAAAGAAAAACACTCACAGTAATGCTTCCACCCCCTTTGAACAAGTTTTATTATTTGCCACAATTTTTTTTTTAGTTGGAAAAGATCTGATGAGGCAAAAAGGCGTCAGAGACTAGCTCGAAATAAATGAAAAAGGCTTGAAATAAGACTAATAAAGAAAAACGCCCATGAAGAGGCTAGTTCAAGAAAAAAAAGAAAAGACAGACAACCGAAGAAAAATAAACTGTCTTCTGCCAAAAAAAATCAAGAGACGTTTCACCAACTGCGGCGTCAAACCGAACGTGAAAAAGAAAGATTACTTCATTTGCTGATGAAATATAAAACAAAGTCAATCAATTCTTCAGGTAGTGCTGTGGCAGTAACAAACTCATTCTTAGAGATTCCACGGGAACTGATACATGTAAATATAGACAGTGATTCCAAAAAGTTAATAACCCTTGCGGAAGGAAAGTTTGGAAAAGTTACACTGGTTTTGCCTTTTATCGAGAAATGCAGTGAAACAATTCAATGAAGGAGTCTCGCAAGTAGAAGTTGAGCATGAGGCAAACATTATTTCCTCATTTAATGAGGCAAAACCTTTCACGCTTGTACTACAATTCTAATTCGTTTTTCGGCAGGAACGATTCAACCGATTTCTATGATTTTTTTGACAGCTTTTGTAAAAATTCGGTTTTAAACATAAGCCGATGTCTCAAACATGCAGTTTTAAACCTACTCAAAAATAAACAACATTTTCTCAAATTTGCACTATTCTTTGTTAAGGATGCCAAAAATCATAGAAATCGGTTAATTCGTTCCTACCAAAAAACGCGATTCAAAAACATACCCAACGTGCATATCAATATGTTCGGGCCACCTGAAGAATTGGATGAACATACAAAACTTTCCATTTCAATATTTATTGCCTTTTATCATACTGCAGTTGAAAGCGTTGTTTTGGCTTGTTTTTCCTCTTTATAGAATGGTGATGATGCAAAGAAAGTTGCCCAGAACAGCAAGGAGGGAATGACGCCCTTCATCATCTTTGAGGGGCAACCGCAAGCCCCAGATGATATATACCTGAGTGGGGAAAGTAATCTCCTTCTAAAGGTTAATGGAGGACATACCAGTGCCTTGGTCACTCTTGTTCTAATATATTTTGTGTGTAATATAGAATATCCGTAAGAATACAGAAACTCATATTTATTTCTCCAGCGAGAAGTGTTGAATGGACAATGTTTAACTATACCGACTAAGGTATTACAGCTCATGAATGAACTGAATCAGTTCTAAGCTGGTAATTAAAGCAAACTAAAATTAAATCTGCACGACTTGTTGTGTAATCTGCCTTTCACATCAATAGCTATAAGCCTAACGACGACTATACGACGGTGGCAAAACGTCTCTTAAAAAGTAAATCCACGTTGTTTCAAATTTCATCTCTCCGGCTTCTGCAGTTCTGTGAAGGACTATATTTATATTTGAATTTTTAAAAAAAGGTTGCATGAGAAAATCGTTGTCTCACGCAGTGTGTTCTCATCCTCCCCAAAACTGGTGAAATTATAGGTAGTTAAATGTCGTAGTCGTGTAACAACGGCAAGGAAATAAGCAAAAATGCATGATACACGTGCAAAGATGTTATTTTGGTAATCTAATCTATTGCTTTTTTCGTAACATTTTTGTCACCGTCGTCGTCGCGTATTAAGCTCCCTAAAAAGTCTTAGAAAAGAAAGACCCACGGTGTACGGCCCTCTTAGTTTTTAACACATGTTTAAAATTACGCTGTTTTACTGAATTCTGAAGAGAACAAAGTTTTTATTACTATCAGGGTAGAGCAATAAAATGGGAGTAAATATACAGGTTGTTGCCGTAGTTGTTACTTTGTCTACTTTTAAGACTTCTCCATGTGTTACAAATAGTGTTGGCTCAGCACTCAAACGGTGTGTTATAACACAATTGGAAGTGTTGATCTACACTAATACGGTGTAAAATTCCCAGTAGTGTAAATTTACCTGACTTTGGTGTGCACATGGCTGCAATGGGTTTTACACATATTCAGTGTCATCGTTACCCTTTTGTAGTGTAACGAAAACACCAGAACAGTGTAAAGGAGACATCTTTTTGGTGTATTTTAACACCAAAACTGGGTTACGTTAACCCAATTTTGGTGTTACTAAACACCGATATAGAGAAAATATACACCAAGTCAGTGTTGCTGTAACACTGCAAAGGTGTTTTTAAACGCATTCAGGATCGTATGTAGGTCATATTTACACCATTTTGGTGTAAATATACACGACAGCAGCGTTAACTGAACACCTATTTGGTGTTCACACAGCTGCAAAAATTTACACTTTTTTGGTGTTAACATAACACCTCGATTTTGCTGTGNTTTAAACGCATTCAGGATCGTATGTAGGTCATATTTACACCATTTTGGTGTAAATATACACGACAGCAGCGTTAACTGAACACCTATTTGGTGTTCACACAGCTGCAAAAATTTACACTTTTTTGGTGTTAACATAACACCTCGATTTTGCTGTGTGTGGTCTACCCCTCTTGACACGGGTGTCTGTAAAACGTGGACCGGATACCAACGGATGACGGATGCGGATGGCAAAATGCGGTTGGCAAAATGCGGAAAGAATAAACTACAGACAATAAATATAATAATAACATTTCGGATATATAAATTTTACTAAATCATGTGTTTTTTTCGTTTATTGTTCAGTTATATTTAAATCCCGATTGTAAATAATAGTTTGATATCCATCATCGGAGAGAATTCACGTATATAAAGTTGTTGGGACAAATTTTTATTTTGAAAAAAAAAGAAAGAAACAGGAGAAAACAAGACAAAATAAACAAAAAAAAGTGAACTGCGCGAAAACATTCGGTGTGCATTGCTTTGCCTATTTCGCGCTCGCCTCGCGAATCGCCGTGTTTCCCCACAAAGGAGTCTGGTATTGAAATGGCTCTTCATGTAACGGTGGCACTCCCCCTGGACTCTGGTCAACTCTGCCAGGGAAGACAGTTCACAGCGCGACTCTGAACTGCCCGTTTTTTAGGTCAAAAGGTAAGTTACTGTTAATGGTTTTCTTTTTCATTTTCGTGTCTTTTCTGATTTCCTAAGCAAACTGGGTCCTTTTAAATCTGCGGTTTGTTTTTGAGAGGCTACCAAATGCTTAACGCAAGAGATGGGACATAAAAGATTATTTTCTTGACTTTATATCTACAAATCCTTACTTTTTTTCTGGCTTTGTGTGAATCGGTCTCGTTTAATGAGGGTTTTTCCACGGAGATTCTTTTTCAAGCAATATGCCGCACCCTCAACAGAAACATTTGTCTGGCCTTCGTTCCATTTTCACAATTTTACGCAAAGGTTCTTTGTTTTCTGGTTAGCTCAGTTGGCAGAGCGCCGGTTTGCTGGCTGAAGGTCGCTTGTTCAAACCCCGGCCGGACCAACCCTCAGGGTCTTTAAATAGCTGAGAAGAAAGTGCTGCCTTTGTAATGACATCTGCAAACGGTTGCACTTTCCAATCTTCTCGGATAAGGACGAAAAACCGTAGGTCCCTCTCACAGTACTGTCACTTATCTGGTTCTGTGGGGCGTAAAAGAACCCACAACACTGTTCGAAAAGAGTAGGGGACGTTATAGACCCTAGTGGTGTGGCTAACCTTTCCTGGGCCGGGTGGGTTATCTGTAAGGAGAGATCTTAATATGGCGATAACCTCATGATCCTCCTTCAGGTGTCGTAATGGCTACCTGTAAACAGTTTATGAATGTATGTAATGGATAAAAAAGGATGATCTTGTGTAGACATTGTTAAAGTCTTTATAAAGGCTTGTTAAGAAGCAGTTTTATGTTTGGTAGCTGCCCCCCAGATAGACGAGAGCTGTCCAAATAAGCCGAATATCATATATTTTCGATTCCGTATTCTGTCTGTCACGTTTTTAATGACGAGTTTTGGGTTGCTCGATACAGACGTTCTAAAAAATCGCTAAGGATATGTTTTGGAAACTATTTTGTTTGGATGAAAATTAAAAACAAAAACAAATGAAACAGAAAGTAGCCTTCATTAATGCGTTTCACTAGGGACACTTAGCTGCCTGACGCTTTTTTTGCGGGAGTTTGATTTTTAGGATGCTTTAAGATCAGGCGATTTTTTTTGTACCTTTTCGGGAGATAACTTTTGCGATTAATCACGTTTGATCAAATCTGTTTTTTCTTTTCAATTAGCATTAATGTATATTTTGTTGTTTTAAAGTTCGAATTCATAATTCGTGCACTTACAAATTCCCAAAAGGTAGAACTTGTAAAAAATAAATTCACACGATAGGCGGAGTTGATTGGCATCTGCCAAATCGGAAAGTTAAGTACCTTACGTTCCGCCTTTTTCCTTTTTGACGCTGTTTTTTTTGGTCTCAAGGCGCTCAAACAAACAATTCTCGATTTGATTGCCCTGAGAATATTTTCTCTTCTGTAAGTTGAGTACACTATATCCAGGCTATATACTCAAAGGAGAAGTGCACCTTAGCATGCGTGGTTTTAAGAGGAGGAACGGAGCGTCCTTGTTTCTGTGACATTAATGAAAGGAATTACATGGTTCGAAGAATTGAGAAAAACCCTGAGAAATCTGTACCAACTATTGACAACGCGTACTGTAAATGAAGGGCCCAACCACACGACAGAGACTTGAAAGAAAGATTTCTTTCCTTAGTTTGTTTGTTTATTTATTTATTTATTTATTTATTTTTGCCATCCGCATTTCTCGTTTTATTCTTTTTACTTTTTTTGACGTCTTTCCGCATTTTTTCATCCGTATCCGCGATCTGCAAGTATCCGGTCTTCATTTCACAGACACCCCTCTTGACACTTTTAACAGCGAACAATGTTATGACGCCAGGATTGCCGGTTGACCAAATTTGTAAGCGTTTAAGTTTATAAAATGAAGTCTGGATATTTCACTCAACAATTTTAAATACCAAGCCCAGCTGTCCATACAAATATACGAGTTTAACAATTAACTACTCTAGCCATGAACTTGAGCTACCTGCTTCTAAACCTACGTACATACGGTAAGTTTAACCTTATTCCTCTTTTTAGTTTTGGTTAAAAAAAAAAAAAAAACCAAAATAACTATAGCTACTCTCACCATATTAATCTTCATCTGCCTGTTTCCATACATTTGTACAGAGGTCCAACCATGTACCTCTTTATTCCAAAACCAAAACCTAAACAAAGTTTTGAAGAATTATATTTCACACTCTTACCTTTGATAGTAGCGGGCATCTTGTCAATAAAAAGCTGAATTTCATTTGGATCAGCATCTTTTAGTTGAACAGTGTATCCTGTTAAATCCAGCCCACTAATCGTAACTGTATCCTTGGTGACCTTCGTTGTAGTTTCAGACAGAATGTCAAACTGAAACGGTAAGGAAATATAATGATTTAATTCATATGTAAGTCATATTGACTATAGTGGCAGTTTCTGTAAAATAACCCCATTTCACTGGGATCTCACTTGCCACAGGATAAACAGCTATGGCCTCAGTTATAGCAAAATGTGTTCAATATGTTCCTCTCAAAATCATTTGTCAAGACCGTTCTTATTTATATTTTCGTGGCTTTTTTTCAATAACTTATTTGTTCTTTAACGATTGGTATATTTTCGGTCCTCAACTTACTGCACGGAAAAAGAAAACGGAAAAAATCTTTCCTTTCCCCTTAATTTTCCCGTTTCAAGTGCATTTTTTTTACCCATGAGGTACCAAAATGTGATTTAGTTGTAATCTTTCAGTATGAAAATCACTCACGATCCTTATTTTGCCCCTTAATTTATGGCCCGCCGCTTTATACCCATTTCTTATTACTTTTCCCAGCTCCAGGTTCGTCGTGGTCTTTAGGGAGTTCAAGATACGGCGACTACGGACTACGACTACGGTTAAACATGCTACTGCGCATAATCAAAACCACGTGACTGTTCATTTTTTCCCGCGTAGTCCTGCAGCTACGGTGAGTTGTTTCGCGTAGTCGGGACCACGGAGAACATTTTGCTCGTATTTTGCCGTCTCGGCAATTCAAGAATCTCGTCTTTTCGTAAAAAGTTTTCAATTTACCAGCTTTAAGTGAGAGGTAAGCGAAATATGTAAGTTGTGTCTAATTTCTGCTCAGATTTACGCGTTTAACCCGCTGTTGTGACTACAGTTTTATCTAGCTAAGCTTCTATTTAAATAAGCTTAGCTGTTTATACGCAGAATTCAGATTGACGGCCGAGAAGAAGAGAAATCATGGAGGTAGTTTACTTTCTCTTCGCACTTGAAAAGTTTCAATGTTTGTTGGAACTGATAAGTGTGTCTTTCTACTTGTGTAACCTTTGTTTATGCGAGTTTTTGTATCGCATTTGCTGAATGAAAATGATGTAAACATCTTCGAGACAATCGAAACTCGGCATTTCAATACTTCAAACTACATCAGATCAGTAGTCGGAGAAGTCCATCTTCTAAATCTAATAAATGAGCTATTACTATTTCTGTCTATTTCTTTAGTATTTAACATAAGTATTCATGGGCGAAAAAATAATTAAAACCTGTGTAACCAAAACTTTGTTCACCAATTTCACCCAACGTAATTGCTTCCTTCAAGTATGGAAGAATTTGTTCATTGTTCCAAAGATAAGATCACATAAAAAATTGACTTGCATTTTTGTGAACTGTGCCGAAAACAAGAAAATCTCTGCGTGTTGTTTCTCTCTCCGCCTCCTCTCTCGTAGTCTACTGTCTGTAGTGCAATCTTAACGTTCTATATTTGCACGACTCAAACCAGTGCTACAAACAAAGGACAACGCTCGTCCAGCCGTAGTTCGTAGTCCGTAGTCTCCGTATCCTAAACTCCCTTTTAAAAGACCACTAAACACCCTACACAGTGTATCCTTTTGCACTAGTATGGCACATCTTGTCATAGGGACAGTTTAATAGAGATAAAGACAACAAATTACCCATTGGGNGGAAAAAGAAAACGGAAAAAATCTTTCCTTTCCCCTTAATTTTCCCGTTTCAAGTGCATTTTTTTTACCCATGAGGTACCAAAATGTGATTTAGTTGTAATCTTTCAGTATGAAAATCACTCACGATCCTTATTTTGCCCCTTAATTTATGGCCCGCCGCTTTATACCCATTTCTTATTACTTTTCCCAGCTCCAGGTTCGTCGTGGTCTTTAGGGAGTTCAAGATACGGCGACTACGGACTACGACTACGGTTAAACATGCTACTGCGCATAATCAAAACCACGTGACTGTTCATTTTTTCCCGCGTAGTCCTGCAGCTACGGTGAGTTGTTTCGCGTAGTCGGGACCACGGAGAACATTTTGCTCGTATTTTGCCGTCTCGGCAATTCAAGAATCTCGTCTTTTCGTAAAAAGTTTTCAATTTACCAGCTTTAAGTGAGAGGTAAGCGAAATATGTAAGTTGTGTCTAATTTCTGCTCAGATTTACGCGTTTAACCCGCTGTTGTGACTACAGTTTTATCTAGCTAAGCTTCTATTTAAATAAGCTTAGCTGTTTATACGCAGAATTCAGATTGACGGCCGAGAAGAAGAGAAATCATGGAGGTAGTTTACTTTCTCTTCGCACTTGAAAAGTTTCAATGTTTGTTGGAACTGATAAGTGTGTCTTTCTACTTGTGTAACCTTTGTTTATGCGAGTTTTTGTATCGCATTTGCTGAATGAAAATGATGTAAACATCTTCGAGACAATCGAAACTCGGCATTTCAATACTTCAAACTACATCAGATCAGTAGTCGGAGAAGTCCATCTTCTAAATCTAATAAATGAGCTATTACTATTTCTGTCTATTTCTTTAGTATTTAACATAAGTATTCATGGGCGAAAAAATAATTAAAACCTGTGTAACCAAAACTTTGTTCACCAATTTCACCCAACGTAATTGCTTCCTTCAAGTATGGAAGAATTTGTTCATTGTTCCAAAGATAAGATCACATAAAAAATTGACTTGCATTTTTGTGAACTGTGCCGAAAACAAGAAAATCTCTGCGTGTTGTTTCTCTCTCCGCCTCCTCTCTCGTAGTCTACTGTCTGTAGTGCAATCTTAACGTTCTATATTTGCACGACTCAAACCAGTGCTACAAACAAAGGACAACGCTCGTCCAGCCGTAGTTCGTAGTCCGTAGTCTCCGTATCCTAAACTCCCTTTTAAAAGACCACTAAACACCCTACACAGTGTATCCTTTTGCACTAGTATGGCACATCTTGTCATAGGGACAGTTTAATAGAGATAAAGACAACAAATTACCCATTGGGACCTCGAAACAGGTGACCATGGCAGCCTAATAGACTGTAACTGCTAAATACAGATCAGTTTTTACAATAATTAAGGGAAGCTATTTCCAGGACTTTAATTAGTGACCGCTTATAAAGGTCCGCTTAATACAGGTTTGACTGGTTTGACTGGTTTGACTATAGAGGCAGCTACAGTAAAGACCCGCTAATAAGAACCTGACTGAAAGAATGGAAATTCACTTTTTATGCGACGTTTTTAATTTGGGGCCATTACCGTCGTGGTATCTTAAACTCCCTACCATTTTATTTTTATGTAATTTTTTTAAATTTAATTTAATTTAATTTAATTTTTTTTAATCGGTAACACCTGTGCAGAAATGGTAATACTGAATAAACTTGTTGATGTTATTGTTATAATTATATGTTGAATTCACACAACTGCATTTAATTGATTTATGTGAGACAGTTCAGTTTGGGAAAGCTTCCATTTTTGATTAGTGTTCACTTAAAGATATCAGCCCTCTTTGTGGTCAGTCACTTTTTGAGTGCTGAGGTGTCTCCTGAAATAATGGAGGTTAAATAAACCCAGGTTTCCGCACCTAGAAAAAATGTCCCTTTCCTCTGAATAGAGGTCACTCGTTCCTTTAATTGAGGTAATAGATACAAAGATTATGTGCACATTTTCCGGCACCAAATTTTGTGTCCCTTGAATGGAGGTGTCCCAAAGAGAGGATGATCAATTACACTGTTTGCTCAATTAAACCAACATGGATGAGGTTGTTAGCATATATATACTGCATGGGGTAATGGCTCAACAAAATTTTGATTCTTTTTTCAAGTGTAATATACAATTTATTAAAACCTACAAAATTTTCTTAAGTTGAATTAATATCAGTGCAGTGAACACACTTGGATGATATAAAGCCAGATGATATAAAAAGCAGCACTATCTGTTAGCTCTAGTTCACCACTTCCCCTAGCTACTTACAATAA